CAATTTCATTCCACTTCAGTGTTTTGATCATTCATAGAATCCTAGAATCAAAGAGTTGGAAGAGACCTCTGGGCCATCCAGTCCAACCCCATTCTGCCAAGAAGCAGGAATATTGCATTCAAATCACCCCTGACAGATGGCCATCCAGCCTCTGCTTAAAAGCTTCCAAAGAAGGAGCCTCCACCACACTCCCTCTGGGGCAGAGAGTTCCACTGCTGAACGGCTCTCACAGTCAGGAAGTTCTTCCTCATGTTCAGATGGAATCTCCTCTCTTGTAGTTTGAAGCCATTGTTCCGCGTCCTAGTCTCCAGGAAGCAGAAAACAAGCTTGCTCCCTCCTCCTCCCTGTGGCTTCCTCTCACATATTTATACATGGCCCTATCATATCTCCTCTCAGCCTTCTCTTCTTCAGGCTAAACATGCCCAGCTCCTTAAGCCACTCCTCATAGGGCTTGTTCTCCAGACCCTTGATCATTTTAGTCGCCTCCTCTGGACACATTCCAGCTTGTCAATCTCTCTCTTGAATTGTGGTGCCCAGAATTGGACACAATATTCCAGGTGTGGTCTAACCAAGGCAGAATAGAGGGGTAGCATTACTTCCCTAGATCTAGACAGTATGCTCCTATTGATGCAGGCCAAAATCCCATTGGCTTTTTTTGCCACCACATCACATTCCTGGCTCATGTTTAATTCATGTTGTCCACGAGGACTCCAAGATCTTTTTCACACGTACTGCTCTCGAGCCAGGGTCACCCATTCTGTCTCTTTGCATTTTGTTTTTTCTGCCAAAGTGGAGTATCTTGCATTTGTCCCTGTTGAACTTCATTTTGTTAGTTTTGGCCCATCTCTCTAATCTGTCAAGATCCCTTTGAATCCTGCTCCTGTCCTCTGGACTATTGGCTATCTCTCCCAATTTGGTCCCGTCTGCAAACTTGATGATCCTGCCTTCTCGCCCTTCATCTAAGTCATTAATAAAGATGTTGAACAGGACTGGAACGCCCAGGACGGAACCCTGCTGCAGTGCAAGAAGGAACTCGATGATATTTCCTGTAATGCTATATTGACCTCCTGGAATAATTGCTTTTTAAAAGATTTCATGATTTTTTAAAAAAATAAACACATTCTCAGTGTTCGGCATCTGTATCCCTGTTGCCATTTTAACATGAGGCTATAACTGCAGACACCAGCGCATCATTATCAGATACGAGTTGGTCACATTTTATAGAGCTATCACAAGAGTGTGGAAGCTGATATACAATTGACATATAACAAACCCATTTCCCTTGGTTTCAGTCCTGTTAATTCGGCATCCAGAGGACAAGACTGTTTGGGAAGCTTCCTGATGATCGGCCTGTCCTCTTATTAGCATCCAACATGTAAATGGCCAGGTTTCAAATCAGCCCTAGAGGTGATTGGAAGAGTCGGAGCTCATCGTGTAATCTCTTTAGATAGGCGTGTTTGGGGTTTCAGCAACTGAGAGATGAAATAAATTCCCCAAATCGTTCTGACATGGTCCCAAAAAGCCGAAAGCTTTGTTCCATTAGATTTAACAAAGGAGCGTTGACATATTCCCCTACAGAGCCCAGGTCAAAGAGACCATCTGTTCCAATGAGTATTCCCTCCCTCTGTGTAAATGTCAAGCGCTAGAGCATGGCTCAGAAGCCACAGGAAGGAGAAGGCATGAGAAGAAGAAGGAGGAGGTCGTTGCTGGAAGAAGCAAAGACCACCAGCATTGAAGCGATGGTCTGGTTGCCTCACCCAAAGCAGTTGCTCTAATCCGAACTCAAGAACGGAAAATGGAATGTTGGTGGCCAGGAAAAGAGATTGAAAGATGGGCTCAAAGCCAACCTTAGCAACTCTGGCATAGACACTGAGAACTGGGAAGCCCTGGCCCTTGAGTGCTCCAGCTGGAGGTCAGCTGTGACCGATAGTAGTGTAGAAGAGGCACGAATGGAGGGCGAAAGAGAGAAATGTGCCAAGAGGAAGGCGTATCAAGCCAACCCCGATTGGGACTGCCTTCCACCTGGAAACCAATGCCCTCACTGCGGGAGAAGATGCAGGTCAAGAATAGGGCTCCACAGTCATCTATGCACCCAAGACCTGTCGATCTTCATTCCTGCCGGCACAGGGGTTTAATCCACTCTGCCACCGGGGTCTCCAACAACAATAATAAATTGTCGAAGGCTTTCATGGCTGGAATCACTAGGTTCTTGTGGGTTTTTTCGGGCTATAGAGCCATGTTCTAGAGGCATTTCTCCTGACGTTTCGCCTGCATCTATGGCAAGCATCCTCAGAGGTAGTGTCTATGCCAGAGTTTTTAAGGTTGGCTTTGAGCCCATCTTTCAATCTCTTTTCCTGCCCACCAACATTCCATTTTCCGTTCTTGAGTTCGGAGTAGAGCTCACTACCTCTGAGGATGCTTGCCATAGATGCAGGCGAAACGTCAGGAGAAATGCCTCTAGAACATGGCCATATAGCCCAGAAAAACCCACAAGAACCTAACAATAATAAAGTAAAATAATAAATGTAATAACAACAATAATAAATAGAGAAAAATAATAAATGTAATAAAATAATAGAGTAAAATAACGTAAATGTAATAACAATAAACATAGTAAAATAATAAATGTAATAAGAACAACAACAACATAAAATAATAAATAACTTTGACTTGAGTATAAGCTGAGTAGGCTTTTTCAGCCTAAAAGGGGGCTTGGAAACTCGGCTTATACTCGATTATATATGGTAACCACCAATACCTACAATTTACACTGCAGGAAAAAGAACCTACTCGCCAGGACAATCCCCCCTCCTCTCATACAAATTGTGATGGAGGAACTCCAGAGAACATGAGATGGGCAACACTACTTTTGGTTATGTGCATGTGGCAGTGAGAGTCATGTCTCTCTACTTAGTGGGCTAAGCCAGGGATTGTGCATGATTCAGATCGGTCTGCCTTATCGCAGTCATGTTGCTCAGCTCAATCTGTCCTCATGGGAATTGTTTAAGACTCTCGAGTGAGAGAATGTCAGGCATGAGGGAAGCACCATCAGTATAAACAAATGGTAGTGTCCATGAGGATCAAAAGCTGTTTCTTGAAATGGCAGCTCCAATTTGAAATAGTGTCAGCTCTAAGTATTGATATTTCTTCTGACACTGCAAAGAAGCTGAAGAAGTTGGGGGTTTTCTGTAAGGATACCTCTGTGAGTGTTTATGAAAGAGAGAGAAAGAAAGATGGCAAATTATGTATTGTGGATTTGTCTGTATAGGAGAAGTATTGAGTTAGTATTATGCAATTTGTCCAGCCAATCCCTCTCCAATGCCAGAAATACAGCTTAATGTGTATATTAGAAAATGTTGACCATTTCCACTACCTTGGCAGCCCCATCTCCACAAAAGTCAACATTGACACTGAAATACAACACCGCCCGAGCTCTGCGAGTGCAGCCTTTTTCCTAATGAAACAGAGAATGTTTGAAGATTGGGATATCCAGAGGTATACCAAGGTGCTATTGCCCTCCCAACCCTGCTATACGCTTGCAAAACGTGGACTGTCTACAGATGTCACACTCAACTCCTGGAACGATTCAATCAGTGTTGCCTTCGAAAAATCCTGCAAATCTTTTGGGAAGACAGGCAAACAAATGTCAGCATGCTGGAAGAAGCTGCAGCTGCATTGGTTACCAATTGAACACCGGATCTCTTTCAAAGTGATGGGACTCACCTTGAAGGCCTTGCATGGTCTGGGGCCGATGTACCTGAGGGACCACCTCTCCCACTACCAACCCCTGAGATCCCTCCGTTCTGAGGACCAAGATTTGTTGGAAGTCCCCAGTGTCAAGACCTTGCGTCTAACAGCAACCAGGCGCAGAGCCTTCACAGTAGTGGCACCATCACTCTGGAATACTCTGCCACCTGAAGTCTGTGCCTTGTGGGACTTACCAGCTTTCCGCAGGCAATGTAAGACAATATCTATTTTGACGGGCCTTTGATCTCTGGTTGTTTTTAAATTGTTTTAAATTGTGTTCGATTTTAGCCTGTTCTTGTAAGCCGCTCTGAGCCCCAGGGGAGTGGTCGCATAGAAGTTCAAATAATAAATAAATAAAAATAAAGACCACCAGCATTGAAGCAATGCTCCAGTGTCATCAACTCCTCTGGACTGGCCATGTTGTCCGAATGCCCAATCACTGCCTTCCAAAACAGTTACTATATTCCCAACTCAAGAATGGGAAATGTGATGTTGGTGGATAGGAAAACAGATTTAAAGATAAGTTTAAAGCCAACCTTAAAAACTGTGGTATAGACAGTTTTTGTGACCAGCAGTGCGGTAGAGTTTGAAGAGGCACGAATGGAGGGTGAAAGAGAGTAACACGCCAAGAGGAAGGCATGTCTAGCCAACACCGACCGGGACCACCTTCCACCTGGAAACCAATGCCCTCACTTCAGGAGAACATGCAGATCAAGAATAGGTCTCCACAGTCACCTACGGACCCACCTCCAGTACACCGATTTTGGAAGACAATCCTACTTGGACAATGAGGAATCGCCTAAGTAAGTAATTGTTCTGATGGCACAGTGTGTGCACAACAGGTCTTCCTGTATAGTGCTCTTTTGTGCATCTAACATGGTTGTGTATCATGTCAGTAATGTAGCTCCATCATCAGAAGGTCATGCTATGCAATCTTTGATTCTGGGTCTCAGTGTTTCCCTTTATGACATAATTCACTCTGTGGTTTCCTTTTCCTTGTCTTCTCCAGGGCTCATGGTCCAGATGCAATGATCCTTGTGGATGGGCAACCTCGACAAGCCAAGGGGGAGCTGGGCCTTTCTCAGATGCTCCACATTGCTAGCCAGATAGCTTCAGGAATGGTTTACCTCGGCTCCCAGCACTTCGTACACAGAGACCTGGCCACGAGGAACTGCTTGGTTGGAACCAACCTTCTGGTGAAGATTGGCGACTTTGGGATGTCCAGAGATGTCTATAGCACCGATTACTATAGGGTAAGATGACTCTGGAGACAGAGTTTGGAGAGGAAGCCTCTGAACAACAGGGAGATGGCATTGTGTGTGAACTGCATGCTCATTCCATCATTGACTCAGAGTATTCACAAAATATGGATGGAAGGCAGAACCTGGTAATTATTATGGGTATTTCAATGAAAATTCCATCTTTAGGAACAGTATAACTCAAAATGCTATATGTTTGGGGCAATACTTCATACGTTGCATATGAGCTTACAGAGACATGGTGTTGGCTGGACTAGATGGTGCAATTTAGAAGAGCAATTCTAGTCTTTGTTCCATTTTAGTCGTATTAAATTCGAGATTGCTCGCCCATATTCGTCCTCAAAGAGATAATGCAAGAATCATGAAGGGGCGGTTCAAGAATAATTGTAACTTGCTTTTCTTAAAATTACTTTTAAAATGCTCTGTATTAGATGACTTTCAACTTTAATGACTCTTTCTAAAATGCCACCAAATAATCACGGGAATGGATTTTTTGATGCCAGTGTCATAATGTGCTGAAAGTGTCTAAATCTATAGGCAAAGTGTAAATCTGAGCTGACTACGAAGAAGAAGAATTTTATTTTTCTACCCTGCCTCCATCTCCCCGAAGGGACTCGGGGTGGCTTACATGGGGCCAAGCTCAGGCAAAATACTATTAAAAGCAAAAGCAAATTAAAATAGCATAAAACAGCATAATAATTGAGCAACAACAAGCTAATTTTGGAGGGAGGGAAAGGGACCACTATGCGAACTGATTAAAGAATGGGGGTTCAATAAGATCGATAAAAACATATTATAGCCTAGGAAAATGGCATGGCAAACAGAGCGGTTTCAAAAAAAGCACAAATCCACTACAAGTCGTGGTACACAAAACACAAAGGTAAATATATTCTTACAGCTGATATAATGCAATATTGAACAAATAACAAATTCATATAGTGTGGCATACAGCAGTATATAATGAATTACAAACTGTGATTTACACAGTGATTCTACAACCATAGCAAACAGAGTCTTTCTTGGTGTAAAGCCAACTTCTCTATAGGGCATGAAGTCCCTTACTCTAGAGAAGGATACTCTTGAGTGAGGTTTTCAGTTTCTTGTGAGAAGAGACCCACACTTCTCTTGAGGGCATAAAATCCCTTACTTTAGAGAAAGTTACTCTTGAATAAGTTTTCAGTTTCTTGTATGAAGATATCCACGACCGGTTTCGACTAAAGTCTTCCTCAGGTGGAGAATTGTAGAGAGTAATGGAGTGGACATCAAGTTCACCACAAAAACAATGCTTCCTCGGATGTCTTATACAGTGAAACAGTGGATCTACAGGGAATATACACAAGTGGCTAGAACATGTCCCAAAAGGGATAAACATTTGCATATTTTGATAACATGTAAGGTGTTGTTTGTTGTTCATTCGTTCAGTCGTCTCCGACTCTTCGTGACCTCATGGACCAGCCCACGCCAGAGCTCCCTGTCGGCCGTTACCACCCCCAGCTCCTTCAAGGTCAGTCCAGTCACTTCAAGGATGCCATCCATCCATCTTGCCCTTGGTCGGCCCCTCTTCCTTTTGCCTTCCACTTTCCCCAGCATAATTGTCTTCTCTGGCTTTGCTGTCTCCTCATGATGTGGCCAAAGGACTTCAACTTTGTCTCTAGTATCCTTCCCTCCAATGAGCAGTCGGGCTTTCTTTCCTGGAGGATGGACTGGTTGGATCTTCTCGCAGTCCAAGGCACTCTCAGAACTTTCCTCCAACACCACAGCTCAAAAGCATCTCTCTTCCTTCGCTCAGCCTTCCCGAAGGTCCAGCTCTCACATCCGTAGGTGACTACAGGGAAGACCATGGCTTTGACTAGGCAATGGATCTTGGTTGCCAGTCTGATGTCTCTACTCTTCACTCTTTTATCGAGACTGGACATTGCTCTCCTCCCAAGAAGGAAGCGTCTTCTGATTTCCTGGCCACAGTCTGCATCTGCAGTAATCTTTGCACCTAGAAATACAAACCCTGTCACGGCCTCCACGGTTTCTCCCTCTATTTCCCAGTTGTCAATCATTCTTGTTGCCATAATCTTGGTTTTTTTGACGTTTAGCTGCAACCCGGCTTTTGCGCTTTCTTCTTTCACCTTGATGAGAAGGCTCCTCAGCTCCTCCTCGCTTTCGGCCATCAGAGTGGTGTCATCTGCATATCTGAGGTTGTTAATGTTTCTTCCAGCCATTTCACCCCAGCTTTGCATTCATCAAGCCCCGCACATCCTTGCATGATGTGTTCTGCATACAAGTTAAAAAGGTTGGGTGAGAGGATGCAGCCTTGCCGTACGCCTTTCCTAATCTTGAACCAGTCTCCTGTTCCGTGGTCAGTTCTTCTTGTTGCTCCTTGGTCCTTGTACAGATTCCTCAGGAGAGAGGGAAGGGGGCTTGGAATGCCCATCCCACCAAGAACTTGCCACAATTTATTATGATCCACACAGTCAAAGGCTTTAGAATAGTCAATGAAGCAGAAGTAGATGTTTTTCTGAAACTCCCTGCCTTTCTCCATTATCCAGCGGATATTGGCAATCTGGTCTCTCGTTCCTCTGCCTTTTCTAAACCCAGCTTGAACATCTGGCAACTCTCGCTCCATGTATTGCTGGAGTCTTCCTTCCAGGATCTTGAGCATTACCTTACTGGCATGAGAAATAAGGGCCACTGTACGGAAGTTGGAGCAGTCTTTCGCACTTCCCTTTTTTGGTATGGGGATATAAGTTGATTTTTTTCCAGTTTTCCACATTTGCTGTAACATGTAAGGTATGCATAACAAAAAAAGGCCTAGATACTTACAACAGGTTCTCAAGGGCCGTGCTCTGCAAAAGTATGTTTCTGTAGCAAGCACATGGCCAACAGGTATAAAGTCAAGCAATTAAAAGGGGCCAACCCAGGTAGAGCAAGTCATGAAACTGTTAAAGAGCTATACACTATGATTTACATTGAACATTGGAATGAAATGGTGTCATTCAGACCATTGGGATGTACAGTTTTAAGGGTGAAAATCCAAAAGGCTTCACGCTGTAGTAATTTAGATTGTGGGAATCCATTGTCTTTTGTGTTTATTGCAAACAGAGCAGTTTAACAGGATCAGATCAACTTAAACTTAAGAATATATATAGTGATGTAATATAGGAATTCAGATTCAGGTCATGATTCAGATCATTTGTCTTAGGAGTCGTCAGAAAAAGCACAACGAAACATCCAGGTCTTTAATTCCTTACGGAAGGTGGATAGGGAGGGGGCCAGCCTAATCTCCCTGGGGAGGGAGTTCCAGAGACGAGGGGACACCACCAAGAATGCCCCCTCTCTCATCCCCACCAATTGTGGCTGAGATGGGGGTGGGAGTGAGTCAGAGAAGAGTCTCCCTGGAAGATCTTAGGGTCCGTGTAGGCTCGTAGAGTAGGATACGGTCACGCAGATAGGCAGGTCCTGAACCATTTAGAGCTTTATAGGTAATAACCTTCACCTTGAATTGGGACCGGAAACAGTGGAGCTGTTTAAACAGGGGGGTTGACCGCTCCCTGTAACTTGCTCCAGTTAACAACCTGGCCGCCGACCTTTGCACCAGCTGTAGTTTCCGAGCCGTCTTCAAGGGCAGCCCTACGTATAGTACAGTAGTTCAATCTTGAGGTAACTAAGGCGTGGACCACCATCAGGGCTGTAGCCAGAAAAAAAATCCAGGAAGGGTTGAAATTTTCACGGGGGGGGGGGGGGTTGAAATTTTTCACGGGGGGGTTGAAATTTTGGGGGGGGGTTGAAATTTGGGGGGGGTTGAAATTTTCGCGGGGGGGTGTGAAATTTTCACGGGGGGGGTTGAAATTTTCACGGGGGGTTGAAATTTTCACCAGGGGGGGTTGAAATTTTCGCAGGGGGGGGGGGTTGCAACCTGCCTCCTAGCTCACGCTGAAGCAAAGAGCACAGCAGGGGGCAGAGCACCCTTCAATAGCCTTCAGCTCTGCCCCTGTCAACCACCTCCACCAAGTCTGGTCTCCTTAATGAGAGCATTCAACACACATACCACAACTTGGTTGCTTTGCTACATCAGCTATTGCTGCAAGTAATGACAGTGTGAATAAATTGTCAATATTTGCTTGAGATAGTGCTTGCAGTTCTGGAGGGACTCTTAATTTTTTGCATCTCATAGACTTAGCATGGGGATTTGGTTAACCAGTTAAAATTCATGAGTAAACCAGGTTTTTTAAAAATCTGAAACATTTCGGGGGGGGGGTGAACCCCTAACCCCCCCCCTCTACAGGCCTGACCACCATGGACAGGTCAGACTTCTTGAGGTACGGTTGCAGTTGGCGCACAAGTTTTAACTGTGCAAAGGGCCCTTCTGGCCACCGCCGACACCTGAGCATCAAGCGTCAGCGCTGAGTCCAGGAGGACTCCCGACTGCGGACCTGTGTCTTTCAAGGGGAGTGTAACCCCAGCAAACACAGGTTGCCAGCCTATACCCCGTTTGGCCGAGCAACTGACCTGGAGGACCTCTGTCTAGTAGGGATTCAGTTTCAACCTGTTTGCCCTCATCCAGCCCATCACAGCAGCCAAGCACTGGTCCAGGACCCAAGGGGCTTCCTTGGATTTTGGTGGAATTGAGTAATAGAGTTGTATGTCATCTGCATAGAGATAACAATGAAGGAGGCTGGAGGAGGCTTCATGGTGTTTGATGGAGCAAACAATTGGTAAATTGACAATTATCTAATATTGCCATTGTTTCCACATGGTGGGCCCAGACACATGGGAATGGGAAATTATGAACTTAAGTAAGAAATGTTTGAGATAATTGGCAGCAAGCATATTTTTATTTATTTTATTTACAGTATCTATATTCCACCCTTCTCACCCTGCAGGGGACTCAGGGCAGCCCCACGTAGAGTGCATTACAGTAGTCCTAGTCATCCGCGTGGATGACTACGCAGACAGGAGCGAGGGGGCTGACCTGATCTCACCAGGAAGGGAGTTCCATAATG